CACAGGGTGATATTTCCCACCAGGAAAACAAGGGACAATGAATCTGACCTTCTTGATGAGAGATGCAATGGGGCGAGTGTTAATTAGTATTTGTGAAGAAATCTGTAATCCTGTGATGAAAGGTGTTATGTTAGTGCAATTTATTGCATTAAATATAGTAAGATTCCTTGGCACAGATGATTTCCACCATGTTATTCACCAAGTTATTTTGGCTAGAGATCAGCTCAGGCCAAGCTGTTACATCTCAACACCTTCAGTGTTTTGAAGACATTCAGATAGATGTTTGGAATTTGCCCATTTCTGCCTTGAAGCAGTTCAGAGTGTAGCATATATCCTTTGAGAAGAAGCCCTGAAGCTCAATGAACAGGAGCAAAGCCCTGCACAATAGCAGGTTAGAAGTTGGCTTTGAGGCACCACTTCTGCCCAGTCACCTGGATGAGCTGCCACCCGTCATGAAGGGCATGTAATCATCACACCCAGCAGCCATCTGGTGTGTTACTGAAAAAAAATGTTGCAGGTTATCACACCCAAGTGCAAACAAGGGTGAGAAGAAACATTTTTTTTTCACTGCAGGCAATGAAGAAAGCCACCCACCTGATTTTAGTAGGCCAGAGAGAGAGACCTTTTTTATTAAAATTTGCTCTATATCCTGGTATAAAATCCACAACTGCTGCTTTGGGCAGATGCATAGAACTTGGCTTGGTACTAAGCGTCAGCAGGAGTGACAATGGCTGGGTCGGGGTGCTAGCCATGCCTCACAGGGGTGCGCAGCATCCAGCAAGAGGGACTTATCTCTAAGGCTTGGGAACAGGAGCAAGAACTTGTCGGACCACGTGTCGTGTTCTGGGAGGCCCCTTGGCTGCCCCGTGTACAGTTCGAAGGCTACGTGATCCTACACAGCTGCGAACGCCTTTCTTGCAGGATTAAAGAGGTCACTTAGGACACTACCCGAGCAGCAAGGTCCTCCTCTCCGAGTCTTTAAATAGCCCCTTTCCCTTCCATGTCTCCTTTGAGTTTCCTGGCTTGCTCAGGCCTGTCTGACTCCTGAGGAGAGGATATCCAGATTTGGCCAAGGAAATGCAATTTCTGTTTACCACAGAGGATGGTGATGTCTGTGGTGGTGCTGAGGATGGCTGGATGGGTGTTTTGGGAGCAGGGGCAAGGGGACCATAACTTCTCTGGATCCTTCTAAAACAGGATGATGGCAGTATTGTAATGATGTGCTTCAGTAGTAACAAAATTCAGGCTGTAATCACTTTAATTTGAGTAGTCCCTTACTCTGAGATTGCCTAGTGAAATTCCAGAGATCCCTGAACCCCCTTTTTTCCCCTCAGAAATAATGAATTTTTTTCTAAACCTCCATGTATTCAATACTGTTGATAATAACCTTCCAACGAGGAGAAATCCTGCTTAGCTGCCTGAATATTGAGGCTGAGGATAGGAGATACACACAGACAGGAAACTCTCCGGGGTATTTTGTTCTTTTATTTAAGTGTGAATTTTTAGCTCCTCTTAAATTACCAAAAGCAATTTACTCTGACAAGGCACAGAACGTTATGCATTGAACCTGGCTTCACTATTATTGTGAGACCGGATAGTCAGCTGTGGGCAGAAGATACCCAGCTGGCAAATCCATAATGCCAGCGGTGAGTGGCTGTGCCCAGCGGCTGGGTCTGGTACACACCTCTGCCTTGCTGGCAGCAGGACGTCGGGAGGGGATCTCTGATTTCAGCATTAATACAGTTATTAGCAGCCCAATAATTTCTAGAGGACTCAGGAGAGAGTGAGGACTAATGCTGCTCGACCCCTAACCTAGTCTTGATTTTAGCTGGTATGAATTTTACGCCAGGATTTCTCTTCTGTAGGCTTTGAGTGCAGAGAGTGAGAAATCTGACTTGCAGATGCAAGTCTCATTACACAGACAGTTAGGCTTCTGACTGCTGCTATTTGTGTGAGCAAATTTATTAAGGGTAAGGGAAGAAAGAAGGATGTATTTTGAACACATCAAATCCTGCTTCCCTATTTAGAAACAGGCTATTTAAAAACAAACAAACAAATAAACAAAACCTGGAACTGGACATCCTATTCCTTGGCCTCTTTAAAAAAAGTAAGTCTGGAAGTTTGTTAGCCCAGTGCAGCGATAGCATTTCTTTAAAAACAGGCTGGTTCTTTTTTTTTTTTTTTTTTTTCTAAGCAGTCATACAGCTTTGTGAGACTATACCCAACAATTACTTTAATAGAAATATTGTTAGAAATGATGTTATCCATTGTCTTGCAGGAGTGACTTCTTTAATTTTGCATTTATTATTTTTGTGACTGGAATAATAGCTTTGTATTTCTTTCCCCAAATAAAATATTTATTAGCAAATATCGTGCCACACAAATTAATTCTGTTTGATTTCTTTCTGGATATTCTCCTTTTTTCAGCATTAATGCTTATTCTCACAGTAAACACTCTCAGAGTCTCATTTCGAGAAATACTTGCCTTTGGGCAAAAGACATGAAAGCCCAAGAGCTACACAAAAGACTGAGTTTCTGGGGAGTCTTTGTTTTAAGCCAGCACTAAAAGGTGAACTGGGCTGATAGCTGCTGTCCTCAGGTGGGACAGGAAAAACCCACCTCTGGTGGCTTTTCACAGCCTGGGGAAAACATCACAGGAGACTTCCCTGACAAAATGAGATTATCTGTTACTGTGACTTCTTTGCAATTTTATAATCTTGTCCTGAGTAAATAACAGCTTGTCTTGGCGTGTTCCCAAGAGCAGGACAAGGAGACAGGAGCTCCTTCCCTGCTTAATCGTGGGTCAGCAAAATAACCTGAGCTGTCGGTCAGAAGGATCTTGGGATCAAGCTGTTGTCCTCCGAACCCAATGTCACTCACTAATCACTTGCTGCCTGTAATGTATCAATGACTACACGCTGGGGTATTTATTTATTCCTGGCTTTCTCCATCCTCCTGCTGTTTATCTATGAGGAGTTTCAGCCAAGCTAACCAAAGCCCCGGTATTTCAGGGATTAATTCCCAGAAAAAGCTCAGAGAGGAGCTATCAGCCAGGAGCTGATTAAATGCATCTGAACCCAGCCCTGTGCTACTCCCGGTTGGGTGAGAAAGACAGCGGGCTTTGCTAAAGTAGTGCTAAGACGAGGGGCTCTGGCCAAATGTACAGCTATCTTGATATTTTAAGTGATGTTTTTTTGCTACTTTAGCCTTCGTCCAGCTGCAAGCTGTGAAAGGCAGCTACAGGCTGTTGTTAATAGGTAACAATTTGGCTCTAACTCTAAATCTTTTTAGTGAAGTCCTGCAGAAGGTTGGTGATTTTGTAATCTAACTTGAGCCTCTGGGAACTTTTCTTTGCTCTCATTCCACCCATATACCATGGATGCATCTTCATTAGTCTGTGCGCATATAGATGTGGTATCTAACATTCATAAGTGCTGGCAGGAAAGGAAAATATTTAGCAAGAGGAATTTTACTTCTCTCCTCTCTTTGCTTACAGTTCATTCTTGAACCGTCAAACATATCCTTCAATAAAAATAACTAATGTGTTTATTTTAACCAGAGCTGGGTAAGTAATTTGCATTAAAGAAATTACTCTATTCATCTTTTTTAGATCAGGCACAAGTTGTGATTTTCTCATTTGTACTTACTGTTCAAAAAGATTTACTGGATGTTTTTTATGAATGAATTTCTTGGCAATTCATCCACAAACAGTTTGGTATAAGTATTAATTTAGACAATTAAGTCTAATACATTTCAGTGTCCAAATTTCTTTGATGATTTTGAAAATCTCAAGCTAATTAGTCAAAATCTGAGCTGTTTCTTTTCAACAGGCAAGTCGCCACCTTGCAAGACAACAGCAACTTCAGGGTTGTTTTTTCTGTGTTGCCTTGCTATTATAAATTGGAGCTGTTTTCTTCTGCAGTATTCTGTATTATTCAATGGTGCCACTAAAGTTAGTGGGAAATATGTTAGAATTTGTAATGGGACTAAGGTTTTATCCACTGTTTCAGCAAATACACAAGTCATCCAATTCCCTCACTAGTGTGCTGGAGGAAGGGGAACAATGGAGCACCAACACAGTCAGAGATTTAGTGTTAAAGTAGCAAGAGAAAATACTCGAGTAAAATATTTGGCAATATCACCCAGTTCTAATTTGCACATTTTAAAAGTTGATCTTTTATGTCCCCTCATGTTCTTTGTTTGCCTGAGTCCCTGGATAAAGCACATGGAAAGTCAGGGGATATCTTATGTCATCACTATTTGTGTTAATGGCTTAGGAAACCCACAATCCAATCAGTTAAAATAAACAACCCAGTGTAATAGGAGCATAAATCAATGAAGACTTCATTACTGAAACCTTAATGTGTAATCCATCCACCTACAGATGAAAGGGATACTGAGAGGCAGCAAGACAAAACCAGAGGACAGCGTGATTTCGGCAACCCTGGTATTTAAAAAGGTGCTGAGAACAGTAACTCTTCCTGGAGTCAGTAAATTCGGTGGATACTCATCACTCCTGACAGCCTGCCCCCGACTATTAAGTCCCTACACTAAAAAATGCCAAGAATCTCTTGTGAAGAGAGCTCTGATTGCTCTTTGTTTGCTCTGAACTTATTTGGAGCAGCTCCAGACTGTGGACAAATGAACAAAGACACGAACTAGCAAGATTAACATACGAGTGGAACTGAAAGTGCTACTTAGGAGTAACAGCCTTCAGAACTGCTCTGACCTGCTGCAGACTTTCCTCTCTGTGGTCCCTCAAGCCAATAACATGAATTTGGACCTTCTCTTAGATGAGGGTGGCAATGCTTGGTGAACAAACCAGAGGACAGCTTCAGTAAAGCCACTGGGTTTCAGTAAAGCCACGTATTCTGTTTGTCTTGGGTCTGAAAGAAGCAGTAATCCTATCATACTGAGCTTTTTGATTTCCATACTGTTCATAAATGGGATGAACTTTTATGTTCAGTGCAGAGATCTCTGCTTGTTAAGTTAATGTCGTAATGAACAGAAACAGCAGGCTCTCGCTCTGGGCCAGCTCTGAGATGGGGATGGGACATGCACTTTTCCTGTGGATTTTAGCTAACAACAAAAGTAAGGTGAGTCTTTAGAAAGGCAGCAGTGCTCACAGACCCTCCTTCCCAGAGTCCCCCATTTCAGAAGTGATTCTCTGCCCCTTTGTTCCTGTCTCTCATGCTCTCCTGACTCCCCTTTCTTCCTTCCCCTGACCACATCTTGTTCTTTTGTCTCACTCCCCTGTTGATACTCTTGTCCCTGTAGCTCACTAATGCCAGCATGAAATGCGTATTGAGCAGTTAAAGTTTGTTAGCATTGGTAATCGACCAAAGCCAGGGAATTCTGATTTTCAGAGATCTGGGGTTGGTTTTGTTAATAACGATGATTAAATAAAAACAAAATCTAAGAATACATAATATTACAGATACAGAAGTTAGGAAACATCAGCAGTAATGAAGATACTGTATGCAGAAGATGTCACGTATAATTTGCCGTTACAGAAGGAGGTTTGGTTGAAGGCGGCTTGTTGAGCATCCTACATGAATTCTGTGACAGAGGTGAAAACCCGATTCTCCAGGCTGACAGTCACCTGCTCTGACTGTGAAGACTGACCTTTTTTCTGCTTCATTCCCTTGTCTCACTCAATCCATACCCTCCCCAGCTATATCAAAGGAGGAGAGGGTATGATATCCAGCTCCCTAATTACCTACACAATCCTCAGCACTATGCCAGCTTGTGCTGCGACTTTAGCAGAGATCACTTTGGAAAAAAAAGCCCATTTGCATTAATAGCCGTTATTACAGATCTGAATTAGATTTCCCTAATATTCTTTTCTAGAGTTTCTTTTTCCTGGGTGTTACTTCTCAATTCCTCGCCTTAAATATTCAGTTGCAGAATGTTAAATATGTCAGAGAATGGTTGAATCAATTTGGCTGGTAAAATGTTACTATATATCCAGAATGCATACTAGTATGTTAAGTTTCTGAAGCACTTCAACATTTGGAAATATAGGAGCCATATATTTGTAAGATGTTATCCCATTGTAATAATTTAATGGGAGATAAAAAGTGATTCCATTATAGTTTATGTGAAACACCTGAGGTTCTTCAAGATCAAGGCTGCACAAATGCAAGTTTTCTATAATACTGGAAATTTGTATTGTGTATTATTTTACCTTTACAGAGATTAAGACATCTAGAACTTGACCCAAGTCCTTATACAGCAATATAGACTGGTGATGAATTCTTCAGTCTCAGCAGTGAAATCAGGTTGGAGGAGGATTAGAGAAGGGGTCTAGTGTATCACATGGATGGATGGTAGATATCATGTGTTTCCTTCTCATCAAGTACAGCATATCTTATTTCCTCTAATGCAAAATTTAAAGTGAATCTAAAGCAGAATGTGTGATGTCAAGGTATGGTGCTTACTTGGTCTTGATTACAAATAAGTTTAGGGCATCTTTCTGCTCCCCAAATTCCAGGCTTCCATGTGGTTATAGCTACAAAGCTGCAAAGACAGGGGAATTTTCTTGTAAATAAGACTAATATAATTTAAAGGTATTCTTCTTCAATGCTGTCATGGAAAACCACCCAACATCGCTGTGTGATACAGAATTTCCTCAACTTTGAGGTAGCCAGACAAAACCAAAAAAGAGAGATGTAATTTAGAATTTAGATGTAAATTCCACAGAAGTGCTACTGTTTATTAAATATTGTGTAGTATGATCAGTACGTCTGTCAGAGGCTTTTAATGTGTTATCATCAATCTGGTTCCACATATTCACCAGATCCACAGAAGTGCTACTGTTTATTAAATATTGTGTAGTATGATCAGTACGTCTGTCAGAGGCTTTTAAAATGTGTTATCATCAATCTGGTTCCACATTTTCACCAGATGGCACGAAAAGTACTCAGTATCCAAACAAGGATCTCAGTGCCTCTGCACTGCATGGTGCACTGCAGCCCTGTGTAGCATGAAGTTCACCATTCCGAATTGATCCCTAAACTTGGTGTGTTTCTATTTCAGAGCTCCTGTGACAAGGATGTCATCCTGAATATTCTCAGTGTCCTCACTGACCTGCTCTCTCTGGGTAAGGAAGCAAAGCTCTGGGGCAATGCCTGTGGGCTAGGGGCAGAAAGGGGGTCCTCAAACACGGCAGGGAATTCATACCTGCATAACCCCAGCCAGGTGTTTGCACAGTGATCAAAATGTGAATTGTACCTGTAGATCAGCACTCCTTACTCCTGTGTTTGCAAAACTGAGCTTTTCCAGTAAGTTAAAGAAGGAAAAAAACCCAAAACCAAACACAGCAAGTCTTAATTGCTTTTAGTTTAAAAGATGCCTGTGAATTTCAAGGTGTTTCATAACCCCTGGCAGTCAGCTACTGGTTCACCAGTGCAACTGGAGAGAGGGCTGTGAGAGTGGGAGAGTGCCCTGACTTCCCAGAGGACAAGGACTCTCTGATGGAGAGCCTTCAGCATCTCCCCAGAAGGCAGCTCCACTTCGGGGCTGCAGGGAAGGCGTGTTGCTGCATGTGCCCGAGCAACGTGAAAAGATAAGTGAATTGTCAAAAGAACTGAAAAAATAATTTTCTTTTTTTTCCTGCTCCACCTGAACCATGTCATTTGCGAAACAATTCTCAACCCCATCGAGCTGCTGGGCTGCAGGGTTTGCATTGGCGAGTGCTGGAGCTCTCTCTGTTCCCCGCTCCTCAGAGCCCCACCGCAGACACTGGCCATCGCACTGGGGCTCTCTTTTGAAGCCCAGCAGTGCTGTTCCTCAGCTAGATGGAAGAATTGCCTACATGGAGGATGGCAGATACTGTCTCCCCTCCAGGAGCTGAACATGTGGCTTCCTCCAGCCATGAAGCTTGAAGTCGCTGCCGAAGTCGCCCATGGATCAATGTTCATTGACACAGTAGGGCTCACAGAATTAGCGGGTGGTTTCTTTGGAGACCTAGATTTGTTTGAAAGCTGTCTCCAAAGCTTCCCTAGGATTCCATTTCATTTGGCAGAAGACTTGTGGCTTTAGTCCTTTGCTTGTTTAATTTCCAGTATCTAAGAAAAGATCACTGAGCCTCCTGCTCCTTTGAAATCTGTTGGTGTCTCTGCTTATTCCTCTCTGCTGCATTTCAATGCACAATGAAAATCTTCTGCAGGAAGTGGGTTTGCAGAGATACCTACTGCTGGAGCAAGAGGCAGCAGAGCACACAGTTTCACCATGCAGCCACTAGCCACCTCTCCAGGCCAGGACACCTGAGATCCACAGTCAATTCTGCAGTTGCCCTTGGGTTTACAGCAATAAAACACTACTGGAAAGCCATGGGAGCTGTGTGTGCTCCATGCGGGTTTAGCGTTTGTGATAGCTGTAGCTCAGGGAAGGGATGCTCTGAGCAGAGTCTCTCCCCTTTTCCCCAGGGACTGGCCGGAGAATTCACTACGTGATCAGCAAAGGCGGCAGCGAGGCTCTACTGCAGGCTCTCGCCGCTGCTGCCCAGACGGAGCCGCTCGACCACAGCACCCTGCTGCCCCTGCTCCGTCTGCTGGCCAGGGTTGGCCAACGAGGTACCGCTGAGCCATGGGGGACATCTTGGGTGGGGGGCTCACAACTAACAGACAGCGCCAGCAATAATCAGTGTGGGATGTGCCTGATAGGTTGGATGGGGCTCTGAGCAAACTGATCTAGCTGAAGATGTCCCTGCTAATTGCAGGGGGATTGGACTGGATAACCTTTAAAGCTCCCTTCCAACCCAAACCATTTTATGATTCTATGATTTGTATACGGTGACTCTAGGTAAATCCTGTGTTTTCCCATTTTCAGTGAGAATAATGCTGATCTAACTCATTGATATGTTTGAATGCCTTTGTTTTGAGATCTTGAGTTACAAGATTTGGTGCATATATGTTGCACATATGCAACACTGCTGCAGAGACCTGGTCTTTTTAATAGTTTGATTCTTATTTGCTTTTCACAGATAGGAAGTTTGGGCTGAAAGTGCAGAAGGCAGAAGCAACTGATATAATACTGAGCTTGGCAAGGAGAAACCTGGGCCACCACCTGCACCTCACCCACTGCCTCTGGGTCCTGCGGGTTTGCGCTTCTAATGGTGGGTGCCTGGATTTTCCTCCTTTCCTCCATATGATAACCACCAGAGTTCTTTTTTAGTACTTTCAGTGCAAAGAAACATAATTCCTGATTAAGGTTAGTGCCTGCATGCACTGTTAATTTAGAGGATCAGGCACAAAAGCCAGAATGACCACAGAAAGAGGTGCTCCCCAAGGGGGCTGTACAGCCTTTACAGTGTATTTAATCTATGGACTATGAAAATAAAAGTGCTGTAGTAGTGAAAAATATTAATGGCAATGATCTCCTATTCTAGAATGTAGACAGTCAACTCCTTTGCTCTGAGACTTAGGTACCTTAAGTCTCTATGCAGTTCTCATTACCATAACAGCCAAAAATCTCACTGTTGTTGATTGTATTGATCCTCAGAGCAGCTCCACTAAGGAGGAAAATACAGGTGGAGAAGCAGAGAGAGAGAGGAATCAGTTACTCATTCAAGGTTTCTCAGGAAGTCCGTATTAGATCCTGATCTTCCATCTAGCATCCCACCCCTCTACACTCCCAGCTTTTATTGCCTGGCAATGCCCTCATATTAAATGATTCAAGCAATGGGATTTCCAGTATTCTCTCCCAGGATCATTACAGATTCATGCAAGCTTTCCCTGCTACAGAGCGCTGAGTTTGTCAGCACAAACTTCCCTTTGCTCACCCTAACCTTTTCCTCTCCCTCCCCACATCCCTCACCCAGCAGATAATTCTCGACAGCCATCCTGTCCGCAGTCTGCTCGGTGCATCCTAAGATTTAGCTCTCCTGGCGCCCAGCCCTGCAGGTCCCTTCTATTCGTACAGGAGCTAGATTCATGCAATGGGCTTTCTCAGGCAAGCAGCCAAGCCTCAACATTCAACCCCTCTCCCTGTGATAAGCAGTATTTGAAAAACTGAGTGTGATTGAAAAATGCAGCCAAGGCCAGAAGCTGAAATGTGCCTTTATTTGGGTTTCACAGCTGTGTAGTGACCCTGTGCTGCCTCCCACCCAAAATTATGATGTGCACTCTTCCCTGTTCCCTGCTTTGTGCACCTGCATCCCAATTCAGCTGCAGTTTTTGCAGTGGTTTTAGGATGCATGCTGCAGCCAGACCTCCTTTCTGTTAACCTCAGACCCCAGAACTCCCACTCTGCTCCTTCGCTGGAGCATCTCTGTTGCTCTCCAAGAATCTCCAGCATTCTCCACATCTGCTTTCCCCCTTTCACGAGTGACTCTGACTCTGTGGACTCTATGGCCCAGCTGGGAAGCTGCAGGGGTGGTTAGATAAAGGTCCATGTGGATGTGGTACCAAACTAGGAGATGACATGCTCCTAACCTTAAAAAATATTTGTAGGGAGAGGAACTAGAAAAGATCCAGAAGCCTATAAAACTCTGAGAGTGCTTAGGTATGAAAGAGAAAAGATGAGTCCTTGTCACAATCCCATGCACTGGTTCTTTGAGTTGGGTTGCTCCCTTCACAATCTTTTCCACCTGCTGTGTGTGGCAATCCACGCCCGGCGCTGGGACAGGATGACTTCCAGCAGCCTTGTCCACTGCCCTGTCTCTAGGGAATTACCAGCTAGTGTAAAAGTAGCTGGCAAGCCTTGCAAAGCTCTCCATCACAGGGCGAGATGGCGGGGACACGATAGGACTGCAGGAGATGATGGGCCCTCTGGCAGCTCTCTGATGACCACTGGGAGATATTTACAAAACAGGCAAAACCCAGCAGTGGGCAGTCAGCCAGGTCTCCCTCTGGCTGCTCTTGATTACTGATCCCTGTTCACTTGCATTTAATATTTCAAGGCTGTATTCATTCCTTCTTTATGCAGAAAATCTATCTTATAGCGGGGAGGCCTGGCTAAGCACTTAGTTTATGCATCGGGCATCTCTGGAATCGATGGCGAAATCTATCTGTAAAAGTTCCCAGTGTGTTAGCAAGTGAAGGATTAAAGGTAAAATTGGCCTTGATGAAATTAAGCTGCATTCAGAAGCACCCCCTCTCAAAAAAAACCAATTCCACACTGCTGAATAATAGCACAGAGAGAAAACTCTGCCCTCCAGGTCCCTACGAAATCAACCATCCTCATGGAGTTGCCTGTGGGAAACGCAGGATGAATTTGAGCCCTGTCATTTTGCTGGGAGATGACCTTATTTAAGTGCGATTTATTCTCCGACGAGGACAATATTTACAGGAAAAGGGTCTTTGGGGAACTTGGGGAAGAACTGCAGGATTTGAGATCTGTTTTGACATCTGATCTTGTCTCAGGTTGTGTCCACAGACAGCTTTGGGCTTCAGTTTCTGTGTTTGTAAAATGACCTGGGAAGACCTGTTGGGAGCCTAGAGAAATCAGCTCATAGCCCCAGGGGCAGCTACTCCCTTCCCCACATCACCTCTAGACATAATGCTGCAGATGGCTGGCTTCAGATCTGACTGTTTTTCTCTTTTCTTGGCTTAGTTACCACAGGAACTACACTTGGTGTCAATGGAGCCATGGAGCTGCTTTTCAAAGTCATCACCCCTTACAGCAAGAGACACATCAGGACAATCAGGTAGGCAGTAGCCCCAGGGGAACTCATCTTTCCAGGACAGCAAGAAATAAAACTTTGGTTCCACTTGAAGAGGCAAAGAAATCAGAAATGGATGCACAATTTCCCCTCACTTTAATTCTGCAGGGTTTTTTAAGAGGCAGAAATAGTTCCCTGAAGGACAGCTTAATGCTGTGATTCATCATATGATTCATGCTGGTGACCATTTATTTGTAGTGTACCCTATACAGTGATGGCAGTTTGATTGCAAGGTATCGTCCTTCATTTCTCGGTCAGGACTGGATTTTGAGAAGTATGTGCTGGCAGAAGGAAAAACACTCCTGCCTACCCCTTGGCAAGAACCTCCTGCCACCACCAGCCCGGGGGCAGGTACAGTGGAATCATGGCAGTGCTGCCTTGTCCTCCTTTTGCAGACAGTTGTGACCAGGTCATCATGATATTTTTGAAGTATGACAGTTCTTACTAGTATTAATCTGGGACTGTTTTTAAACCCATCCTAAATATTTCAAATAGTTTTGTTCTGAACACAGCAAGACCATTTTATGTCTCCATCTTAATGCTGATCATTAGTCCTCAGATTGTCCATTCTGACCATGTCCTCAGATGCCTTTAAAGGCAAACTTTGTAATATGGAAAACATCCACAGAAGGACGTACATTTCTGTGGCTTACTCATTACAAACAGGAGGAAGAATTTACTGCTGTGACCTGTGCCTACACAATCACAATTGCTTAAGCAACACAGAACCTGCCAGTTCTCCTGCCTAGACATGCAATGCCTTGTGGAATATATAGTCCCTACTTGTCCGTGCACATCTCAGCAAGGACAGGGCAACATTCAGTCAGTTTTGGCTTCTGCATGGACCTGACATGGGTTCAGTTCACAGCTGGTGATTACTGAGGAAGTAGCTTTAAGTTTAGCATCACGTGTAGGTGAGAAGTGGATGGAAAGACATGGCACAACAGCTTGACCGCTCCTTACTTAACTGTGGTTGAAGTGGGGGTCAGTGACCCTGGATGAAGGCACCAGTAAATAATGTCCATCCTGCTGTTACCATCAAAGACTGATACCAGTTCTCCCAGTATCACCAGTTATACAATACATTGCATGTAAAGGAATTTGAATTACTTTCCACTAGCTACAAGTGATGAACTTGCATGTCAGTACATGGTACTGTTGTTTGCTAAATGCAGCATTCTTCCAGTTCTTCTGCCTACACTTCTGGGGCTATAAAAAATTTTTGAACAGTTTGCTTTGCTAAATGAGATACTGAGGAAGCCCAGCAGATGCACAACTTCCTGCAGCTGCCTTGTTAATGGAATCCAACTCAGTTCTGCCTGCATTTTTTGCTTTCTAATATAGAGCTAAGTACCTGGAACTGCTTCACAGCTTCAGTTCTCTCTTAGCCAGTTCACCTGTGATTCCTCTATGTGATCTGTCCAAAAATACGATATCAGGATGTTTCCTGCACGAATGTTTGGATATTACCCAACTCAAGAATATTATTGCTAGGACTATTCCTAGGGTATCTGAGGACCCTCCAAGATTCCCCTCAGGCGTCATGTTATAATTTCAATTTTTAGGACTTGGGGAGCCTGGAGAACTGTTTTGTGTATGACAGGGGTGCCCACGATGAGTTAGACCCAGAATTGGGCTTGACTTCTGAGGCAACCAAAAGTGATTCATGGGTCCATGACTGTGCTCAACTAAATAAGCAAATTCCACTCAATTCCCTGGTTTCCTTTCTATGGAAGTGTTGGCTGTGATTAGACTAGTGTTAGTTCTACTTCTGTGATAGCCTCATAGGTCAGGGTCTGTGTGTAATGGGACTTGAGCCTGTATCAATTCTCCATTTAGCAATGGGACTAGCTGCAAAAAGGCATTTTAAATGAATTTTGTGCTAAGCTGCTTTTTCCATTTGCTGTTTCCTCTGAGGGAAGTGGAAAACTTGGTATCTGTCACACATTTCTAGCCTGGCATTTTGCTGATATTCATTTGGAGGTGCTGGGAGTGCTGCTGAGGGTTGTTGCGATATAGGCTGTAAAGTGGTCTAGAATGTTCACTTTAAGCAGCAAGGGAAAGAAATAGCTGTCAGAGAAACACACTGCTTTTGATTTCAATGATTCCAGATTGTCAATGTGCAATATTTAAGTTTTTCTTCCTTTTATCTGATGTCTAAAAACTGTTTTGATCTCTTCTGTGGACCTTTTTTTTTTTTTTTTTCCCATTTGGGACACACACACCAGAAAATGCAAACTCTAAATTTACCTCAATAAAACTCCAGTTTTATTGCTAATAAGCTATTTTATTTATTGCTGAAAAGCTTAGGTTGGTTTTACCTTTGGAAAAAAGGTATCTTATACACTAATTGTTGTCTACCCAAGCTTCCTCATTGCTAGTTCAGTTTCCTAACTTCCTTTTTTTCCTAAAATATTTGTGGTCTTCTTAAAACATATTTGTACAAATGTAGGATAAAATCTTTCCTGGGACCTAGCATACAGAAAAAGGCGATTTAGCTCCCACCTGCACTTGGCTTAACAAGCAAGAACCATAAACCAGCTGAAGCCTGGTAGCTACTCAGCTGGCCTGCCTAAGGCTCAAAGCTGCTTGTTTCATTTAACAACTAGGAGCAGCTGAGAAGGTCAATGGCTCAGTGGAGGCAGCCTGTGTTACACCAGAAGAAGCATACAAACCTGTTTTGTTTTCAAAAATGCTTGCAACCTATTTAAAGGCTCTAGTTTCTTGTTATTTAATAGAGGCTGTGCTTGCTCATGGTCCATTTGTAAGTATTGCTCTTTGTGAAGAAAGTAGCTTCAAGAAATGTTGTTGGCAAAAGGTTAGGTCCTGAGACCAGAAGCTGACTGTAGGGTGGGTTGCAGATCTTCTTTCCCAGCATTGGTGAATGCCTTGGATAGCTATGGTCTGAAAATCCCAGGCATCTTTACAGTTCATCAAAAAATGAAAGTGGGTATACGGAAAAATGTCCTTTTATTTTTTGAGCTGCTCTGGTTAAAAATTTGTAGGGTGTCTTGGGGAGGAAGCTTCTGGATGGGTTTTCTGAGATGGGGAGAAAGACTAAAAAGGGGTCGTGTGCTTTGTTTAGCTCAGCATGTGCTCCCAATGTGTAGTTCTTTTCAAAGGTGCTGTGGCTATGTTGAAATCTGGAGTGGGCTATTTTGGTGCAGTTAGTTGGTAACAAAACTAGCTGATTCTTTTTGGCTTCCAGTATGGAACTCGAAGAGAACATTGGTTTGTAACCTGCTTATGGAGGGAAAACTCCAATGTCCTCCCACCAAGCCTCTGATCCTCCCTTTGTATTTGCCCTTGATACCTTCTCTCCACTTTGTAACTATGTGCCACCATGATTTGCTTTGCTGCTGGGAAGGAACAGCCGGCAACTGTGGGGGCTGAGATTACCCGTATTCTTTGATCAGCTGCCAGGAATGCAGCATCGAAAATGCACCACTTCTCTTGTGGATACACCCGCATTCTCCTGTCCTGGGCAGCAGCAGGACCAAGGTCACTTTAAGAATCTGCCCTGGAGAGTGCACTATGAGAGCTATTTATTTAGCCAGCTAAGATGTGGAAACAAGATACATAGTTCTATTTATTTTTCCCAGTGGCAAAGCTCTGGGTTATTTAGAAATAGTCTCCCATGCTCCAATTGACCTTTTCTGGGTGCATGCCAAGTAGCTCTGGTTCCCCTGAGACTGTGACTCATGGACTTTATTGGTGTTAGGCATTTGAGGTGTGCAGGTTGCCAGTGCCATAACAGTGTGCATCTCTCCAGGACTTCCCATATCTGAAGTAAAAGCCCCATGAAAAAATGTGAAACTCACTGAGGTTTGGAGAACTCTTGAGTTATGGACTGCGAAATCCAAGTGAGGCGGATACTCTAGACTGTCTTGCCCATATCTTTTGATGCTGTGCTGCAGAGAAAGTTTTTTCCGATACGTTTTATAGGGGCAGTTTAAAATAAAACCAGACGATGCTGTGTTTTTCTTAGTTCTGTTTATGTCAGTAGCTGGGATATCTGATATGAGCATGTGTGTGGGATGCTCAAATCTTCACTCCATCAACACCTTCTCTAGTGTAACATCCCTGTTGCCCCACAGAGTACAATGATCTCTGCTTCTTTCACCTTCCACCTTACTTATTCCTCATATTTTCCGTATCTTCTACCCTTCTACTTTTCAGTGTTGCTTTCAACACCCTTGGTCATCTTCCCAACTTACTTGTTCTGAGAGATATTTGGACGTGTTGTGGGCAGATGGATGTGGAATGTGATAGTGGCAGATGTTTGCTCTCTGGCCAGCCAGGAGCTGGGTCTCTTCTGCATGACTGTTTCCAGGTGGCCAAGCATCAGATGTCCTCCCCAGGCTGCTGGCGTGTCAGTCTGATGGCTTTGAAGACTGTATGTTGGCTGTGGCCACATGTTGTGCGGGCCTCTTCTAAGACTCCTCAAGTTGAAGGTAGATTATCAAAGTTAGTGAAAACAAAAACCAAGGATTTATGATTCCTTCATAGAAGGAAGACCTGTATTTTAGAAAATGGCAAATGATGGTGTGACTTGTGTCCGAGTTGTTTCTTGCCACTGTTATCTTTTTCTGTTGTTAACATTGTGTCGAGCAGTCTTATTTCTGCAGTTTTATTAAAGTCTTTTAAAAGTCTTTGTTTCTCAAAGCTCTTTGAGTACATTTATTTACCGTGCTGAGCAGAGCTGGCTAATGGTAAGTGATTGGATAAACCTCATATGAGAGATTGCAACAAGAATGAGAATTTATCAGAATTAAAAACTCTCTGTGAATAGTCACAAAACTTGGCTTTCTGCACGGGGCTGTTCCAGTAAAGTTTGACTACTTAATTAAAAGTGGAAAGTGACTAAAAAAGGTCTGGGAATGATGCCAAATTAATTCAGTAGAAAATATGATATGCAGAAATTATCTGCCTTTGTCATGTCCAGCATTGCTGCCTTCTGACATTTGATCACAATTCTTCTTATG